GAGATTGCTGGGTCAAAAGGTAAGTGCTAGATAGTTTTGTTAAGTGTTGCCAAATTCCCCTCTAGAACTTTTGTACTAGTTTTCATTCCCACTTGTAACGTATGAGCATGCCTGTTTCCTCCCACAGCCCATCAACAGAATATGTCATCATGCTTTTTAGTTTTCACCAAACTAATACATGAGAAATAGTACCTTAGTGTTGTTTTCTTATTTCTTGAATTACGATTATGCTTGAAGATTTTTAAGTCTTTTTAAAGATTGCCTGTTTATATCTGTTCCCATTTTTTCCAGCAGGTATTTATTTAATCTTTTATCTTTTATGATTAGTGCTTTTTTTGTATCCGCCAAGGTCTTGAAGATATTTACCTATGTTTTCTTTTAGAAGCTTTTTGACTTTAGCGTTTACATTTAAGCCTGTAAATTTTCAATTAATTTTTATGTATGGCAAGAAGTAGGGGTAAAGATTAGTGCTTTTTTTGTATCCGCCAAGGTCTTGAAGATATTTACCTATGTTTTCTTTTAGAAGCTTTTTGACTTTAGCATTTACATTTAAGCCTGTAAATTTTCAATTAATTTTTATGTATGGCAAGAAGTAGGGGTAAAGGTTAATTTTTTTCCCCAGTTGGGTACCCAGTTGTTCCAGCGCTGTTTATTGAAAAGACCATCCTTGCCCATCTAAATTGCAGGGAAGTTTTGTCATAAATCAGGTGATGTGGTTCTCTTTCTGGACTCTCTATTCTGTTCAGTTTTATTTATTTCTCTTTTCATCAGTACTACTGTCTTGAAATTTGCTGTATTTAGTCCTCCAACTTGTTTTCTTCTTCTTCAAGACTAGCTTGGCTATAGTAAGCTCTTTCAATTTCTCTGTAAATGTTAGAATCAACCTGTTAATTTCTACCCCCTCCCCCAAAAAATCATTGCTGAGATTTTGTTTATAAATCTATGTGTTAATTTTGGGAGAATTCACATCAATATTGAAACTTCCAGGTATATCTCTACATTTGTTAAGATCTTTTAATTTCTCTCACCAATTTGCAGTGTACATCTTTTGTTAGACTTATACCTGGGCATTTGATGTTTATTGTTGAACCTTTAAATAGTATTTAAAGCTTTTTATTTTCCAGTGTTTTGTTGCTAGAAGTACAATTGATTTTTGTATATTGTCCCTCTATCAGACCACCTTGTTTACTTCACTTGCTAATTATAAGAATTTATAGATTATTTAGTATTTTCTGTCTGTATAGCTTATCATCTGTGAATAACCACAGTTTTATTTCTTCCTTTCCAGTCTTTATACCTTTTATTCCTTTCCAATCTTATGCATTTTATAAGAAATAATACACATTATTCTTTTTTTTCTGAATTCAGAAAGAAAGTTTTCAGTGTTTCAGCATTAAATATAATATTAGCTGTAGTATTTGATTTTTTTCCTACTTACAAGCTAATAAATTAGGCTATTTCACAAATGCTGGCAGGAAACATGAGACTCTTGGATCAGAGACAAAGACTTTATTACTCATGGCACAGCAAACAGCATGGGCATGAGTTTTTATCAGTTCCTCTTTCCCCCACCTCCCACGGGGACAACATGAGGGCCCATATGGATGTTAGTCATGCAGTGGATTTCATAGCCACTGAGGAACACTGAGCCTAGAGAATCCATTGCTTTTATAGAAAGCAGTAAGCAAGCCACTGTTTATGCAGAAGAGATGTTATCGTACCTCCCAAGGTTATCAGCTGCATAAGTAATTAGGAAAAATGACCCAGGTAAAGAGTAGTTAGAGCCTTACTTTCTTGGCACATCCAGCAAGATGTGTAAGAGTGTGAGAGACGTATGGTGGACTGTCTCCCAACAGTAGGTATTTCATAGATACTATTTATCCAGTTGAGGAAGTTCTGTTTCTCATTTGCTAAGACATTTTTACATTAATGAGGGCTGAATTTAATAAAGAAAGGAGCAAATCCCCTAGATGCAAGAATTCAGCCTGGGAGTTTGCCCTCCAGGGGAAAAGAGGAGGAGTGTTAGGAATGCAACAGGCCTAATACGGAGCTATTGAAGTGAGAATGTTTCATGCCCTTCTGCTTGGAAGGTACAGCACTTGAGGACATCCCTTTAACCAGGGGAAAGCCAGGAGGAGACACTCAGAGGGGGAGCTTAAAGTGAGGAGTGTAGAAGGAACTGTTTCCAAGTCTTTCTGGATTATTTTTGATTTTTTAGTATCTAGCATAATGCCTGGCTATTATGTGTGATAGGCTGTTTGGTTGATAAAAAGAATACTAAGAACTTAATATGTAGTAGTAATAATATTAATGAGTGCACTTAGGTTTTAAAGAAGAGGCCTTTTTTTATTACTTCGGTTTTCATTTCCTGGAATATGTATACTGCCAGGGAAATGTAATGAATGTCTAAGAGTAGAGGAAGCCATTGGAGGATTGGTAGCATGGTGCTGCTTGCTGTGTAGTCAGTTTTACATGAAATAATCGATAAATTGTTTGATGATCAAGGAGCTTTGTGCATACAGAAAAATGTTCACTGCTCTTTATAGTTTGTATAATGTTCAGTTTATAAGTTCTTATATCTAATAAAAAACCAGAATTTTCTTAAACATTTAAACGTCGATCACTAATTCAGTTACTTTCCTTAAACAATTTAGATTTCTGTTAGTTGTTTAGTATAACCTATTCTTTTGGACACTTTAAACATCTTAAAGTGAAGATGTTTATAAAGAATACATATAATTGTTACAAGTTTTATTACTAGCCTTATGGTCAAAAGCTATTCTAAAGTATCAGAGATGTGAGTTTAGTCCATTTCAACATTATTTCTATGCTTTTTTATTCTTTCTTATTGTTACCGTTACACTAATTTTAGTATCTTCCTAAGGTTCCAATATTATTATTTTGTTTGGTTTTCTGAATTTCAGTTATCTTAAGCCAAAACCTGTTAAACTCAAAATTTTTCTCAAACTAGGCAGGATAGGTGTTTCTTGGTCAGCACTTGGGAGCTGATTGTACAGTCCAAGCACATTGAAAACTGCTTTTACAAAGGTATATCCAAACTTACAATGCATACAATTTTTGAGCAATTATACTTTTAGGAATTAATCATTCAGAATTTATAAATAGGTAATATAATGTATGTACAAGGATATTTATTACAGCATTGTTTGTTACAGTGAAAGACTAGAAACAACTCAAATGATCATTGGCCTCAGATTAGTTGAATAAATGAAGGTACATCCATTTAATGGAATACAGTGTAGCTATTAAGACAATCATGTAGCACAATATATCTTAGCTGGGATTCATTCTAAGATATATTAATAATAGATAAAAATAGCAATGTTTACAACAGTGTGTATAATATGCTATTATTTGAGTAAAAAATTTTATATCTTTGTTTGTGTGTGTGTATACAAATTTATGTTCTCCAAGCCATATTGGGTTAACCAAATCCATCCTGCTCCAGTCAAAACCTGGCATCTTTGGAGCTGGGGATTATGAGACATTTGCCCATTCTTCTCACTGATACCCCTCAAGTGTTTGCATGGCCTGAACAGAGGGGAAATGATCGTTCTGGGAGCTGTGAGGCATGTGGGGTCTCATGTATCTTCTTTTGCCTCTCTCAGCTCTACCCTTTTCCAAAAGAAGAGCCCAGAGAAGGTCCTTTTCTACAAATCTCAAAGCTATGGCTCAGGTGAGATACTGTTTGCTTTTGCTCAAATAGAGTCATTTTTACCCCTAGTGCATGTTAACATTTGCTTTCCTCATCATGGTGCTTTTTGGTGTTAAAAAACAAAATGAAAAAATAAACCTTTCAGACAGTTTAGTTATTATAAGCAATGCTAAAGTTTCTTACCCTTGCTGTAAAGGAAAAGTTCTCTAATAGGCCAATTAATAGAAAAAAGAAGTAGTTAAATGATCATTGTTAGAAATTTTACACTTTTAACTTACAGTTAACTATTAGTCAGCCAAGTGGTTAGATAGCAAGTTTCTCTGAAGAAGTTTTAATCAGATTAAAATCCTTCAGAAGATTGCTTATCTTCTTCCCATAAAGAGACTATACATTATATAATATAAAAATGATCTGACCCAGACCACGTTTGGAATAATTTTTTTTACAGGGTCCTCCTTCAGGAACTTGACCCTCGTTTCCTGCTACATAACCCAGTGCCCTCTCCAGTTTTGCCTTTTTTTAAACAATATTTACATACTCATTTACTAAGTCCTTCAGCATCTCCCATCTCAGACTTCTGCCAGAAATCATGATAGGACAGAAATGTGTTCCTCACATTGAATTAGTGAATCTAATTTTCTTGGACAGTGATTTAATGGAATAGAAATGAGTAATTAGGGAAACCTCACATGGAAAAGCCCTGATTAGCTCCACAGACCTGGGTTTTTCAATAAGAATTTATGGGTGATGGTTTTGTTCGATTTCAGTCTTAGTACGTGGAAAGATCTCCTGATTTATGAGCCTTTTAGGTTTAAGAGTATGACTAGTGGTTGGTACAAAGCTCTGGTACCCCACTAAGCATCCATGAAAAAGTGACATCAGTGATGCCAGTGTGTGAATCTGGATCATCTTCCATCAATTTTCTGTAGCTCAATTACAAGGGGAATTTACAGCTGGGCAATGGGTAGTCATAAATGTGATTGGGCCAACGGTTGGGTCTTTAAAGATCACCTCCAGCCTAAATGTCTAAAGGCAAAAGAAAAGTTGCGGAACTGGATACAGTGGTTCACACCTGTAATCCTAGTGACTCCAGAGACAGAGGCAAAAGGATCACTTAAGACCAGGAGTTTGAAACCAGCCTAGGCAACATAGTGAGACCTTATCTCTAAAAAATTTTTTTAAAAATTAGCCAGGCATGGTGGTGCATGCCTGTGGTCCCAGCTACTTAGGAGGCTGAAGCAGGAGGATCACTTGAGCCCAGGAATTCAAGGCTGCAGTGAGTTATGCTAGCCTGGGTGATAGAGCAAAACTCTGTCTCTAAAAAAGAAAAGAAAAGAAAAGTTGCCATGTATATGCTCACAATAGAATATTATTCAGTGAGAAACAAAAATGTGCTTGTGAAAAGCATTTGTTGTAACAAGGAATAATTATTATATTAATAGTGGGGCATGAGAATGATCAGTCTTAAATTATATGCAAATTTAATTTTCTAAAATACAATATTTTTAAAAGTCATTTTACACATGTCTGCAAGGAAAGTAGTATGATTCCAGTCTTGCCCCGTCACCAGTCCTACTACCAAAAGGCCAATGCTCTCAACTCTTGCATATGGTTTCTTAATTACTATTTTTTGATGAATCTGTTTTACTCATCTCTTGATTTACTGCAAAGTGAAAAGGAACATTGTATTCCCATGTTGCACTTTCCATTTTTCCTGACTTTGCTATTAATTATATCACCATTTTTGGTTAAATCAATAGTGTACACATTATTATGGCTGCATATATCATTCTCTGCCAAGCCAACTCATGGCTTTATTCTATATAACCTTTCATTTTCTGAGGGTTAATTGCCTTTTTTCCCTCATTTGCTTAGTTGTTCATGTATTTAAATTCAAAATCTCCAGTATCACTGCCACATGCCAATCAGTAAGTTTTTTGTGTGGTCAAACACATCAGTTCCTTTTAAACATAGAGACTTTCCTCCCTATTCCCTTTGTCTCCTTGCTCTCATCTGGTCTGGTTACTCTCTAGGCCTGCTGCACAGTTTTCCAGAGATTTCTCTTTTCCTGTTTTTCCTGGATTTTCTTTCACAACTCTCCTGTGTACATTACCTGTTTCCTTAATCCTGTGTCACTGTCTTTTCTGATTTACTCCCTCATTTTTGTGGAGCACATCCTCCAGTAGTTTCCTAAGAAATTGACATGAGTCCTTGGATGTCTATTTTCTATACTCACAACAGAATGATAGTTTGGTTATGCAATTCTAGGTCAGAATTTATTTTCTCCATCAGAATATTTTAGAATTGTTCTTATCGATTCTTGGTTTTGGAGATGTTCTTGAGAATTCCATTGCCTTTCTGATTCTTGATGCCTTTTAAGTGACCTTCTCTCCTCTCTGGATGCTTTTAATATCTTGTCTTTATCCCTTATTCTGAAATTTCACTCTTAGCTATTTGGGAAAAGGGGAAGGAGAAAGAAGATCACATGTATTGTTGATTTATTGTATGACAAGTATTATGCTAGGCATTGCATATATAATTTCATTTAATTAGGAAACTCCTCTTAGCTGAATTTTATACCTTCCGAGCCTTGTTCGAATAATGGAAGTATCCCACTATACTCAGGTAGTTTCGTCTGGAGGAAAGAGAATCACACGGAAGCACAGTGATTCAGTTGTGCTTATTTGTATACGATCCTCCACTTGTGTCCCAGACATTCATGTGCTCATTATATTTCACTTCCTCTACCTTAATTTTTTTCTTCTCTCTTTCCTTCACTGTAACATTTCTTTTCATTAATCAAGTCATGTACATGGTTGTTGTTCCAGGAGTCAGTGATGTTCAGTGATGTGTCCATAGACTTCTCTCAGGAGGAGTGGGAATGCCTGAATGATGATCAGAGAGATTTATACAGAGATGTGATGTTGGAGAATTACAGCAACCTGGTTTCAATGGGTAAGGACATCTGTCCGTAATAATTCAGGGTCTGCTTTTGGAAGGCCTGCTTCCCCAATGCGAAATGCTCACCTACCTTTCAGAAACCAGTTGGATTTCTACATCCTGTTCTCACATGAATGTTCTGAATATTGTAGAGTTAGAAAAAGGAAGCTGTATTGAATTATGGGGCATGTTTCAAGTCTTCTCTTATGTTTAAAGTCTGTCGTCCCTTTCTTTGACTCTTTCTGTAATGTCATGTCTTTCTTTGCAATGAAGGAACTGGATTTAAATTCTGGGACATCTTCATTATAAATTTGTCTCATTATTTCTTTTGTAAGCAGGACATTCTATTTCTAAACCAAGTGTGATCTCCTACTTGGAGCAAGGGAAGGAGCCCTGGTTGGTTCCCAGAGAGCCGACAAGAGGCCAGTGGCCAGGTAAGTGAGGCACAGCAGATACCGACCCAATTCATCAGTGTAGAAACTGCATCTTTGAGATGCTATTCGGGAAGCTCCCCTCAAAAGCTTTAGGCCTGTTGTGCAAACATAAGATTTTTTTCAGCATGAGCTTTCAAATGATCCTACCTTTTCCCTTTACCTAACACACTACTTTGCCTGCTTTTGTCCTCTTGTATTTCTCTCAACTCTAACTAGCTGGTGCCATCCTCCATCCTCTCTAATAATATTTAATATTACTTTCTATCCATATTTCGGGTCCATTTCCTTCCCAGCTTCTCATCTTCTTTTGTATTTAGTTTTGTAAAAGCATCACTATCTCCTGAAATATATTTTTTTCTAGATTGCCAAAGACTTATTTTTTTTAACTAGGTATTTTTAGATGTAGGAGTTTATACGCTCATTGATTCATTCATACTTTTTACCAGTATTTACTGATTTTCTAACATGTGAGATACTCAAGTGCCACAGAGATTAAAATGAATAAGCAGGCTGGGTGCAGTGGCTCATGCCTGTAATCCCAGCACTTTAGCACTTTGGGAGGCTGAGGTGGGAGGATCGCTTGAGGCCAGGAATTGAAGATCAGCCTGGGCAACATAGTAAGACCCCATCTCTACAAAAAATATTTTAAAAAGTTAGCTGGGCATGGTAGCATGTGCCTGTCATCCTAGCTACTTGGGAGGCTGAGCCAGGAGGATCACTTAAGCCCAGAAATTGGAGGTTGCATTGAGCTATGATCACACCACTTCACTCCAGCCTGGGCTATAGAGTAAGACCCTGTCTCAAAAAAAAAAAAAAAAAAAGAAATAAGCAATTTCAGAATTTATCACCTAGTAGGAGTACTAGAACATGTCTATAAATAACTCCTACAAAGTAGTACCACCATAAGAGAAGTTAAAATAGGAAGCTTAGCAGAAAGTGGGGGCTAAAGATACAGAAGAGGAGTTAATCCATGTAAAAGTTATAGGGGGATATTTGGGCATGCATGTCATTTGCTTTAGATAGAGTTAGAAATAAAGGGCCTGTGTCTCTATGGAGAAGTTAAGAGCTGGCAAAGATAGAGTTGGTATAAAGGAAGAGCCTCTATTGTATGCTTAGCACTACTTTCAACGTTGAGCTTATAGTAATGAATAGAACATGTAAAATCTCTCTTCCCAGAGCTTAACACCCCACCCCCGCCCCAGTGCGGGGGGGGGGGGGGGGGGGGGGGGGGGGGGGGGGAGATTGAAAATAAATGAATACATAATATATCAGATAATATTAATAGTAAATGCTAAAAAGAAAAAGTGGAGAAAGGTAATAGAGGGTGCTGTTTTATGTGAAGTGGTAGGAAAAATTTTTTCTGATGAGGCAACATTTGGGCGGAGACCTGAAGAAGTACAGTAGTAAGTCATTGTGTGTGGTTATGGGAAGAAGACAGAGCTCCAGATAGGGGAAGCCAAACATTCAAGGGCCCTGAGGCAAGTGTACATTGGCTTTGTTTGAGCAGCAGCCCGGGAGGCCAGTGACTGGAGCAAAGTGAGAGCAGAGGGGTATGTGGGTAGGTGATGAGATCAAAGAGACGAGAGTGGGGAAGAATGGATCAGTTTATGTACTGCCACACAGGCCGTGATAAATCATGAGAAGGCTGTGAACATAGGGGTGCGGGGATCCAACTTATGTTTTAGAAGGATCACCCTAGCTGCCTTGTAGGAGGTGAGGTTGGAAGCAGAGAAGCCCTTTAGCAGCCTTTTGTAGTAGTCTGCCTGAGGTAACAATGGTGGCTTGAGGACCATTTAAATGTTATCAGTGACAGTGGAAGGAAGTGGTGGGATTTGGAACCATTTTTTCAAGGAAGAGCTGGCAGGATTTAGTTTTAGAGTATAATAGAAAAAGAATCTTGCATTTTGGAGAAAGCCCATGGAAGAATAGGCTTTGTGATTACTTAGATAGGAAAAGAGTAGGCTTAGGGGTTGCAAAATCAAGGGCAGGTTTGCGTGTGTTAAGTTTGAGATGCTAAACTGGACACAGAGTAGATGCCACGTAGACAGTTCATTATATAAGTCTGGAACTGAGAGGTTAGATGAGGACTGGTGAATAATTGACAGGGCCTTTAATACAGAACCTTGTGATTGCATGAGATAACCAAGGGCATGAATATACATAAAAAAGGAAAGGACCCTGAAGCACCCCAGTGTCCAGAGGTCTACCGAATGAGGAAGGTTTGGCAAAGAAATGTAGGTTGAGCAGACGGTGAGATAGAAGGCAAACTCATAGGAGGCAAAGTACCGTGAAGAGCTGACTGTGAAGATTAGATAGGGTATATAATAGTTTCTATATGCATTTTCTCATATAATTCTTTTTTATTCTTTTAGTACAGTTCAAGTATTTATACTTACATCTTTAGGCTGCTTTCCAGTACTTATTTGTAAAAGCACCCTTCTGGTACGCAACTTTATACATAAAGACTTTTCCATATTTGTTTAGGGTAGATTCTCAGCAGCAAGATATTTTTGAAGCTTTCACATACAATGTTTGGTAGTAGTCATTTGTTATACTTTTTAGGAATGATTAATTTTTTTTTAATGTTTTTGCTCATCTCTTTGACAAGTCATACAATGTTTTTTATTGCAAAAATTTTCAAGAATACATTGCTTCATCTATTAGTATTGTTGCTGAGATATTTTCATATGAATTTAAGACCTCATGTCATTTCACCCTTGCATAACCTCAACATATAATTCTAAAAGACATGGATGTTCTCTCCTGGATGTACTCTCCCTTATACACCTTAATGGAGTTATCACCCCTAGTAGATTTTACAATTTACTAGATAACAATTGATTTCTTTTTTTTTCTTTTTTTTTTTTTAGACAGAGTCTCACTTTGTTGCCTGGGCTAGAGTGCCATGGCGTCATCCTAGCTCACAGCAACCTCAAACTCCTGGGCTCAAGCGATCCTACTGCCTCAGCCTCCCCAGTAGCTGGGACTACAGGCATGCGCCACCATGCCTGGCTAATTTTTTTCTATATATTTTTAGTTGTCCGATTAATTTTTTTCTATTTTTAGTAGAGACAGGGTCTCGCTCTTGCTCAGGCTGGTCTCGCTCTTGCTCAGGCTGGTCTCGAACTCCTGAGCTCAAACAATCCACCCACCTTGGCCTCCCAAAGTGCTAGGATTACAGGCGTGAGCCACCACGCCCGGCCAACAATTGATTTCTTGATGAACTGCATTGTAATCATAGATCATTTTTGTAGTAACTGATATCTTTATTATAGTAAATCATGTTATCCATGATCATAGGGTTTTCTCCATTTACTTAGACCTTCTTCATTGTCTTTCAGTACATTTTTATAAATTTATCCCCAAAAGGTCATACATATTCTTTTGATATTTTATTTCTAGGTATTTTCTATTATTTGTTATATGTGTTTGTGAGTATACAAATGCAGTTGACTTGTTCATTGCATAGGATGTGTAAACCAAGAGAATTCCAGGAGAAGCCTTCTAGTTTTGGCTCTAGGAGCAGGAAATGGGTTTCTTAACACCCAGAGAGATTGGGGCAATCTCTTGCATGTGGGTGTATATATAAATTTTTGTTTTGTTTTGTTTTGTTTTGTTTTATTTTCTCATGGCTCAGCCTCCAGACAGTCCCACAACAGCAGCAATAGTGAAAGCAATGGGGCTTGCGGGTGCATAAAATTATGAGGTATAGGACCCTTTCTTTCCCATAAGAGGAACTGTGGAGTGAACACCCATTATTTTTTTTTCCCCTGTTTCCTGCTGCCAGACAGTACATAGAAAGTACATGGCAGGGGGAGGTAGCTAAAGCTCCAGCTTTGTGACTGGAGGACTGAATTAGGGAAGCCCCAGAGAATCAGAACGTATCAAGAAGATTACAGAAAGGAACAAGCTCAAGAAAGCAACTCCATGAAGTGTTTATGAACTCCTAGGCTCACTCTTGACCCAAGTATATGTGGATCTGACCCTAAACAGCTTATCAAAGACTTTGAGAACTGAACTTAGAGATAGACCACTATCCAAATTTCAGACTGGCTATTGGGTGGTGCACATGCAGATCCAAATAACACTGCAAAGACTTTGAAACTTAAATTAACGTTGGAATCATAATCCACAGAAGGTTCATTGGAACATGCAGACTGAACTCAACAGGGTCAATACTGGTGAAACAAAAGTATCAACAATTCCATAGGATTTAAACAAGACCCAGAGTCTTACAGAATAATACTCAAAATGTCCAGGATACAGCCCCAAATCACTTATGAAGCTTATGAAGAATGAGGAAAATTTCAACTCGTGTAAAAGAAAATCAACAGCACCAAAATAAAGATGACTCATGTTGGAATTATCATATAATGACTTTAAATCAGCTATTATAAAAATATTTGTGGCTCACACCTGTAATCCTAGCACTCTGGGAGGCCGAGGCGGGCGGATCGTTTGAGCTCAGGAGTTCGAAACCAGCCTGAGCAAGAGCAAGACCCCGTCTCTACTAAAAATAGAAAGAAATTAATTGGACAACTAAAAATATATAGAAA